TGTTCCATATCATACTGAGGGACAGCCCCAAAACTAGAAATGGCGCGCGCTTACGGTCTCCGTCCCCGATTATGGCTCCTGATTGAATGTCATAGCCGGGTGTGTGCGCATCAAATTTGCACTCGAACATTTGCCGCGGGAATATCATAAGAATAAATGTTGAATTTTATGCAAGTTGGCATATACAGTTCAGACAGCGTTTAGAAAGGAAAAGATCAATAAGCAACATACTAGGTGGGTTCACACTAGAACTTTTAGTGCACTTCAAGCGTACTTGAGTTCAAATGCACTTCAAGTGTGCTTGAAGAAGAGAAGCCGTTTACACTGACGTTATTACAGGCGAGCAGTCGCGACGGGAATTTACCTTACGTGGGAAAACTCTGCCGCACATGTGTCTATATCAAAGCATCTGCGAAGACAAGAGCCGGAGAACTTTTCAACCGAACTATTACAAGCCGTGATTTTCCGTTTTGAAGACGGTCTTTTTAAACAGGAAAGCCAGAGCGACAGGATGAAATAATGCGACATCAAAGGCTGGAGATTATTCGTCATTATTTTCACTTTAATTTTTTTACTTGCTCATGCTGTTACGACGAGCAAGTCTTGTTCGACAAAATCTTCACCTCGCCAGTTTTTTTTGCAAGAGATCTGTCGAATTTCTCATTGACATCGACGATGCCTGATGATGAACCGGTATCAAAGAAGGGCTTGGGTATGGCCACTGCCACAAAACTGGTTTCGTGCTATTTTAAGAAACCTCGCATTAGATTTCCCATATGGAAAGAGCATTTCTGTGTTTCTCACTTAACTTTTGAATACATCGTACCTTGTAAGGCCAGATCTCCAAAACCAACACACCCGAATGCGAACTCGCATAACTTCAGAAGAACGGGTTGGATTGGCTTTTGAGCGGATCGCAACGGGTTATATTCTTTTAGAAGTTGCTGCTTGCAATTTTGTCGGTGCAAGTCGACCACAAAATATATCTGTGAAGATCAGAGTTAAAGAAAAACCGGCGTATCTTTGGCAAAAGATATAAAACAGAACCTACCTTAAATTGAGGTCGAGGAGATCATTGTCAGTCACCGATGAGTGTCTATAATACGCCATACTTGCTCACAAAATTTAAAACAAAGTAAACAAGGTCATCGACAACAGGAATTCTCGCTTTTTCGCCTGTAAGAGTAAATTTTAAGGCTCCAGATGATTGCCACTTCAATAATTAGCTTCCGACGTCTTCATTGGATAAGTGCACACTCAAGGAAGGTTTTGACCTCACTTCGATCAGAGTGCAGTTCGGCCCTTTGATGTTTTGAGTTTCCGTGGCGACTAAGTACAATTAGTCAAGATTGGTTCACTTAATCACACAAGTTATTCCCAAGTGCACTTCAAATAAATTTCAAATGCACTTGAAATGTCCAGTGTAAACCCACCTACTGGGTGTAATTTATTTGCTTTCAGTTACTTGTTGAAGGAAAACGTATCACTCACTTAAGCGCCGGTGGACCTTGCAGCACCTATGGGAAATTTGACTCGTCAAGGCCAGGAATGTGTTGGAATAACGAGAAGGGTAAGAAAAAGGCATCACGTTTTCTATCCACATCCGACGCACTTAAAATCACTTCCAAAATAAAATATAAATATATAAAAATTGTACAAAAACTGTAAACCGTGGTAGTTCGAAATATTTTGGCTTTTCGAGCTTCGTCAGGCTTCCGCCATATTAAAAATATCAATTGCAGCAACCACCACTATTTTGGTTACGTGTGTTGAGGAATCTCTTTTACGTTTTGTTGTTCATGGTAGTGCAGATCGATGACCCACTCTATAGAAAGATCTGCGAAGGATCTTATTGGGTTATTGCTCGGTTACCAATTTT